ATAGCCAATACTCCATGAATGATACAATGTAATATCTGGTCAACCGCTAAAATGACTGCAAAAATTATGAAATTTTTCCAAGTGATGTTGTCATGGCGAATGTGTCACCGTGTATGCATGTGGGACGCTATCCGGCATACTTACTAAATACTTGCACCACATGTCGCTCGCAAACGTTTCGAGTGAAGTTAGGACATTGAATCTGTGGTCATTTAGCATAATTAATTGCAAGATGTTTATATATGTATTATTACTTAATTTTTTGTTGCACATCTTCTGGCCTGCTAAGGGATGCTAAATGCTTCTACTAGTAAATTCCATTTATATCATAAATCGAGCTGCTCCGTTTCACATTTCTATATAAAAGTGCGTTATCTGGCTATTTTAATGTGCCATGATCGCCAATTCGCTCCAATATATTATGTATGTGTTGTTATCGTTGCTGAAGCTACGATATTTGAATTTTGCGTGATACTACGATAAAATAATAACGACAATAATAATAATAATAATAATGATATTGAGATTACTATCATTATTATTATTAATATTAGTAATAGTAGTAGTAGTAATAGTAGTAGCCGTAGTATTTATGAGAAAATCAGCTAAGAACGAGGGTTTTACCATGTTTTAAGCTACCGTTCTATTAATACAGGTTTACTCAGTTATTGAAAATATATTATAGCGTATTATAACTCTCCGTTTCTTATTGATATGTCCCATTCACACGCCCCTAATAGTATTTACTCATAATTTTATCTATAACAAAACAATTACTACCTTATTGCCCGGCGGCATAGAGTTTCGTGCACCTTGTAAATACATGAGATACGATGATACTTCGTAGTGATTACGTCACCGTAAATAGTAAAAGTAAAAAAAAATTCCCACTTTTTCACAAAATGTAAGTAATTCTGTTCACTTTTTATGGTTAAATTGCTGCATTATACTTCCTATTTTACTATATTGTTCGATGTAAACAAACAATTGTGACTCATACATAGCCCATAGCAAGCAATTAATGTCAAGATCATATAATATCAAATCGTCCAGGTTTTTTGGACTTTTAACTAGTTGAGAAACAATCTTATCAGGTGAAAATTTGACGATACATTGAGTCCCGTTAGTACTTACGTTTAATGTAAAAAAATGGCAACAAAATTTTACAAATATACACCATAGAAACTTCGTGACGTAGTCAATTTAACCTCGACCTCCACAACAATCTCTACGTTGCCCTCACAAGCGGAAATAAGTGTGAATAATTAACGTGTTTATATGAACATGAATTACGCCATCGATTCATGTGACGCTTACTAGAACCCTTAATTGACTAATTTTATTTTTTAGAACAACAGCGCGTTGTGGGTGTTTAAAATCGCTGTAAGTGCTCCTTACTGATACCATTTTCATGTTTTAAATATTGTTAACGAAAATTGTGTTTGGGACATAATATGATTGCACATTAAAGTTTATGGCGTTTTGTTGATAAATACTTGTCGAACCACTATAGAATTTGAATAATAATAATAATAGCATAAAGCGAATTAAATTGATACCAACAGTGTTTGGATGTATTGAAGACACTAAAATCCACAACTAGTATAAATGAGACGTTTCACTAATGAAGAACAGATTAAATAATAGACGTAATTAAGATCAACTGTGAATTGCACAGATCAGTAGATATGAAAATAGATTCCGATATATATATAATTCATTTCTTTAATAACTGGCCTGGAGCAGTATAGTATCATTTCCTTTGAATTGGAGTTGCTTAGCTGGTGACATGGGCGTCCCCATTCTGGAGTCTTGACTCCGAGTCCAAGATTCGTAAACCCGAAACTTACGGCGCTGCCCTCAACGTCCTCGGGCGAGAGGTGGCGCCACGAGTTTCCCTTGGGCGAGAAGAGGCGCTAGGGCGTCCTATGTAAGAATTTCCTCAGGTGCATCGCCGAGTTTGTGACCTTCTCTGTCGTAGAGTGTCACCATGCTCACCCACTGGTAGCGCTCATGGTACTTTATCGTTCCGAAAGCAAAGAAGTCGCGCTCTCGCTGGTCCAGAATCTGGCTTAGGTGAAGAGTTACCCACCTGTAAAAGCGCACATATGTTTTTCAACCTTACTCTGTTATCTCACTAAGGTGGTGGCGACAGACACTTGGAGCGTTTCAATAAAATATAATGATAAATAAATACGAAATCTATTTACTACCAAAGTCTTAATGTTTCTCTACTTTCTTTCACCTATTATTGCCGACAATTTCCTGTAAATGCCGTCCAAATGCTGATATGCAACACACGCTGGCCGCCGCACGCTAGCTGCTGCACACTTACACATAAATATATAGTCTATTTATATATATATATAATATATAATATATAATATATATTGTCTATTTTTATATATATCTAAGCGCCAAGTGCCTGTGGTGGTGGCGTTACGTTAGGATGAATCAAAATAATATATAGTTTTGTATATGATAAATAAATAAATGAAAAATATATATACACACACAGACACACGCACGCACGCACGCACGCACGCACGCACGCACGCACGCACGCACGCACGCACGCACGCACGCACGCACAACGCACGCACGCACGCACGCACGCAGGCACGCACGCACGCAGGCACGCACGCAGGCACACGCAAGCACGACACACACACACACACACACACACACACACACACACACATCTATATGCTATGTATAGTGGCGTAGTAAGTGGTAGTTAGAGAGTTGTTACGGAAACCGGT